AGACTGATCATTTCTTTGTCAGTGGGCAAGCGTACAAAATCAGCAGGGGATCAAATACCTTTTCCCTCACTGTATGTGTATGTATATTTGTGTGTGTGTATATATATATATATATATATATATATATATATATATATATATATATATATATATATATATATATTATATTTGCGATTTAAAAAAACCATGGGGGATTGGAAGTGATTCAGACAATTACATTGATGAAAGTTACAATCTACAGTTGAAGTTGGAAGTTTACATACACTTAGGTTGGACTCATTAAAACTCGTTTTTGAACCACTCCACAAATTTCTTGTTAACAAAGTATAATTTTGGCAAGTCGGTTAGGACATCTACTTTGTGCATGACACAAGTATTTTTTCCAACAATTGTTTACAGACAGATTATTTCACTTAAATTCACTGTATCACAATTCCTGTGGGTCAGAAGTTAACATACACTATGTTGACGGTGTCTTTAAACAGCTTAGAACATTCCAGAAAATGATGTCATGGCTTTAGAAGCTTCTGATAGACTAATTGACATCATTTGAGTCAATTGGAGATGTACCCGTGGATGTATTTCAAGGCCTACCTTCAAACTCAGTGCCTCTTTGCTTGACATCATGGGAAAATCAAAAGAAATCAGCCAAGACCTCAGAAAAATTTTTGTAGACCTCTACAAGTCTGGTTCATCCCTGGGAGCAATTTCCAAACGCCTGAAGGTACCACATTCATCTATACAAACAATAGTACGCAAGTATAAACACCATGGGACCACGCAGCCATCATACTGCTTAGGAAGGAGACACGTTCTGTCTCCTAGAGATGAACGTACTTTGGTACGAAAAGTGCAAATCAATCCCAGAACAACAGCAAAGGACCTTGTGAAGATGCTGGAAGAAACAGGTACAAAAGTATCTATATCCACAGGAAAACGAGTCCTATATCGACATAACCTGAAAGGCCCCTCAGCAAGGAAGAAGCCACTGCTCCAAAACCGCAATGAAAAAGCCAGACTACGGTTTGCAACTGCACATGGGGACAAAGATCGTACATTTTGGAGAAATGTCCTCTGGTCTGATGAAACAAAAATAGAACTGTTTGCCCATAATGACCATCGTTATGTTCGGAGGAAAAAGGGGGTTTCTTGCAAGCAAAATAACACCATCCCAACCGTGAAGCACGGGGGTGGCAGCATCATGCTGTGGGGGTGCTTTGCTGCAGGAGGGACTGGTGCACTAAACAAAATAGATGGCATCATGAGGAAGGAAAATTATGTGGATATATTGAAGCAACATCTCAAGACATCAGTCAGGAAGTTAAAGCTTGGTCGCAAATGGGTCTTTCAAATGGACAATGACCCCAAGCATACTTCCAAAGTTGTGGCAAAATGGCTTAAGGACAACAAAGTCAAGGTATTGGAGTGGCCATCACAAAGCCCTGACCTCAATCCTATAGAAAATGTGTGGGCAGAACTGAAAAAGCGTGTGCGAGCAAGGAGGCCTACAAACCTGACTCAGTTACACCAGCTCTGTCAGGAGGAATGGGCCAAAATTCACCCAACTTATTGTGGGAAGCTTCTGGAAGGCTACCCGAAACATTTGACCCAAGTTAAACAATTTAAAGGCAATGCTACCAAATACGAATTGAGTGTATGTAAACTTCTGACCCACTGGGAATGTGATGAAATAAATTAAAGCTGAAATAAATCATTCTCTCTACTATTATTCTACTATTTCATCTTCTTAAAATGAAGTGGTGATCCTAACTGACCTAAAACAAGGAATTTTTACTAGGATTAAATGTCAGGAATTGTGAAAAATTGAGTTAAAATGAATTTGGCTAAGGTGTTTGTAAACTTCCGACTTCAACTGTATCTGCAATATTAAAGCTGAACAACAAACAAAAATGAAGTAAAAAACAAACTAAAAAGTCAATGTTTTCGACAGTTCACTAAACAACTACAGATTTATAACCACAGTTACCACAACTCAGCACAAAGACAACAGGAGCACTGCCTCCGCTATTCTAGCACCATTTCAACTTAAACATTTAAACGTCATCAAATCAACAAGGTTATATATGCTTAGTTTAGTACACTGAAAACAAACTTAAAGATACTAAAAACAATTTCGTTGAATCAATGTTGCTAAATATCATGTGGCTGTCCATGGTACTGATTTCTCTGTGTGTGTGTGTGTGTGTGTGTGTGTGTGTGTGTGTGTGTGTGTGTGTGTGCGTGTGCAAAACATTTTTGGAGACTCACCCTACTTGTAGACTAGTTGAACGCCAATGTCATCCTCCTCTCTTTCATGTTGGCAAAACGGTCTATGGCTCTGCTAGCTAGTTAACATGAGCCTAATTGGCTACATCTAGGCTACAAATTGAACTTCAATTGTCTCAGGCCAGTAGCACAACATATTCATTTATGGTTAGATCAGAATCGCTGTCATAATCATTGCCTGTACAGATAATTAAGTCAAAACCACAAGTCCAAATCCCCATCTCCATCCATGGCTTAGGAAAAGGCCAATGTAGCAAGCTAGCTACTGCAGGACATCAACACAAGCAGACCAGAAACAGACACGTTTTTCTGAAAATAACGTTTTGCTTAGGAAGTGATTTGATTGGTGTGAAGCCACATCCAAACTGGCCTCCCCTGGGGGGCGTTTTGCTGCACCAGGATAACCCTGATTTGCAAATAATTTTATTAAAAAATTTATCAAGGGAGGCCAAATTCTAGCTGGCATCAATCAATGAAATGCTACGGCGGCAACGTCATACTCTTTTGGTCCAGACAGCATCAGATACATGGGCTACACATACTGAGAGGCGCTGTTTCACATGTATACACACAGAAGAGTGCAAATCCATGCACCCTGACAGACACACTTGCAGCCGGGCCTGTTTTCATGCAGTCATGCTAAAGCCTGCATCCGTCCATCCAGTCCACATCTGATGTGTGTTGTGTTGTTGTCACAGAGCCAATACATTAGACTTAATTGAACTCAGTTTAGATGGGTTCTGACCTACAATAGTACTGCTTTTATCTGTTGTTGATTTACTCATCTTGCCATTAAACCCCCCTGACCCTTTTTTCCCCTCATGCACGGCCAAAAAGCCGGACAAATATTTTCAGAGGAAATAATGAAATTCCTGAAATTATTAGGAAGAGGGACCTTATATCATGTGCTCTCCGTTGGCCTGGCCCCTGTGCACGCCTCCGGTCTCCCACAGGCAGAGCAGGACTTTTTCACTATGCCGCCCCATATTCAAAACACACCTGGCCCAGACCCCGTCACAGGAACTAAACCTATACAGCATCCTTATACTTCCTCACCTACTGGTCTGGACTTATTTCTCTGAAGGAGTGGAGGGAAGTCAATCTAGAAGAGCCAGATCAACAGTTGCAGGGTTTTAACTCTAACAACTGTGGTGTGCAATAACGGCATGTCCTTCCCATATCTGCACCACTTGGCTCACCCTCTTATAAAGCCTTCATTATTCTGTCCCAACGCTTAATCAACCCTATCCTAACATGTCACCTGCCACGACCATTCACTCCAATTATGCTGCATGGCACCCCACTGTCCTCCACTTCTGCAGTGCTGAGGGTGTTAGCTTAGCCTATATTTTATCCACTAAGGATTTTACTGCAACTTTTTCTGCAACTTTTATTTCTTCTTCTTCCTTTTACGATATCCTCATTTGTCAGCACGTTTATGGCAGCCCACTTCACCCTTGTGCTCCGTTGCCCTCCTTCCCCACTTATGGATTCTCTCCCAAACTGAGTCTGAGATCTCCCCTACTCTCTCTTTAATTAATCATCCATGTAATTACATAAAATATAGCAGGTCAGTTTTTTGCTGTCGTCTCCCCCTGCAGTTATAAATGTTTGTCTGGGGCCTTCGTCCACTACGCCATGTTTTAGAACCAGACAAGGAGTCACTTCAGGTGAACTAGTAGCCAACCGTTTATTTCTCTTCCTCTCTGCCGACTCAGAGCGCGACGACTGTGTGTCAGTTTGAGAGTTGATTTCTGATGCTGTATTGTACAATGGAGTTACTCTGGTTCAAGCCGGTAGTTGTTCAAGTATATATTGTGATTCATACACATAAACAACTCATAAACATTCGGTGAAAAAGGGTCAAAGTGGATCAAAACGTTTAATGAAACTTGTTCCACTGCATGTTTGTCATTTTGAATTATGATGATCCAGTTGCCCTGTGTGTGTAACTCGACTGTCTGTCTTCGCAAGACAGCTGACAAATATCGACTGAAGAAACTCACATTTGTAACATATATCTCTCTCCTCCAAGAATTCACTGATCTTGTCAGTACGATCTGCCAAGACCACCAGCTTGGCTATTGGATAAGGGCTTTTGACATTTGCAGAAGGAAGGGGACTGACAGTTTCATGGTGTTGGACTATGTGTTCTCATATATTCCCTGTCCACTTCTAGCATAGTATTAGCCAAGCACAGTAAACACATCTCAATCAGACCTACCTGCCTACATTCTGTCTCAATCTGCCTTTCTCAGCTCCAGGACTTTTCTATTCTGAAATGATTTTGCTACCTCTCTTCTTAACGGTCTTTTGTCTGAAATGATCACATTTTTCTTCAGAATTAGGAAATATCTTTGCTCCACAAACAATTGTGATGTGAAATGAACTGGCTCTCGTTCCTACATTTGTTTAAATCTCTCTCTCTCTCTCTCTCTCTCTCTCTCTCTCTCTCTCTCTCTCTCTCTCTCTCTCTCTCTCTCTCTCTCTCTCTCTCTCTCTCTCTCTCTCTCTCTCTCTCTCTCTCTCTCTCTCTCTCTGTTTGCCTGTCTGCCTGTCTGTCTGTCTGTCTCTCTCTTGCTGCCTCCCTCTCTCTCTTGCTGCCTCCCTCTCGCTGCCTCCCTTTCTCTCGCTGCCTCCCTCTCTCTCGCTGCCTCCCTCTCTCTCGCTGCCTCCCTTTCTCTCGCTGCCTCCCTCTCTCTCTGGTCTCTAGAGCCTATTTGGATGTAAAGGAGCTGAAAGAGATCCTGAATCTGGATGGCTCCACACACCTGAACGTCTTCTTTGCCAACTCGTCTGATGAAGATCTGGCCGGTGTCGCCACTTGGCCGTGGGACAAAGAAGCACTAACACATTTGGGTAAAGACACACACACACACTCCACCTTCTCAACAGCCCCCGTTGTTGATTAGGAGTAATTACAGTGTGAGCCCTGAGCAGTCTCTCCATCTCTACCGCCACTCTGACAGGGAGGAAGGTGATAATGAAGCTGTGGGGGTTGATGAATAATGCATTATCTCAATCCCTCTCCAGCATCCAGAACTTTCTAGTGTGAATAGGTGTTTGTCTGTGTCTGCTCTCCATTCGTAGGTGGCATTGTTTTGAACCCCTCCTTCTACGGCACATTTGGTCACACCCACACCATGATCCATGAGATTGGCCACAGTCTCGGGCTGTATCACGTGTTCCGGGGGATCTCTGAGATTGAGTCGTGTAACGATGCGTGTCTGGAGACTGAGCCCTCGTTGGAGACAGGAGATCTGTGTGAAGACACTAACCCCACGCCCAAGTACAAGCACTGCAGAGACCCTGAGCCTGGCAACGACACCTGCGAGCGTCGTCACTTCACACACACACCATACAACAACTACATGAGCTACGCAGGTGAGATTGCACTGCTAACATACATACACGCACACACAGACAAAAAAAACAACGTAAACTGACATACAAACACGTGCACACTTTCTGACACGCATAAACAGGCACAGAATGCTGTGGTGTGCCTTGAATTCTAAATAAATCATTGACAGTGTCACCAGCAACGCACCCCCACACCATAACACCTCCTCCTCCATGCTTTATGGAGGGAAATACACATGCAGAGATCATCCGTTTACCCACACCGCGTTTCAAAAAGGCGGTTGGAACCAAAAATCTCAAATTTGAACTCCAGACCAAAGGACAAATTTCCACCGGTCTAATGTCCATTGCTCGTGTTTCTTGGCCCATGCAAGTCTCATCTTCTTATTGGTGTCCATTAGTAGTGGTTTCTTTGCAGCAATTCGACCAGGAAGGCCTGATTCACACAGTCTCCTCTGAACAGTTGATGTTGAGATGTGTCTGTTACTTAAACTCTGTGAAGCATTTATTTGGGCTGCAATTTCTGAGGCTGGTAACTCGAATGAACTTATCCTCTGCAGCAGAGGTAACTCTGGGTCTGTCATTCCAGTGGCGGAACTCATTAGAGCCAGTTTCACCATAGCGCTTGATGGTTTTTGCGACTGCAAAGTTCTTGACATTTTCCGTATTGACTGACATTCATGTCTTAAAGTAATGAGGGACTGTCATTTCTCTTTGCTTATGTGAGCTGTTCTTGCCATAATATGGACTTGGTCTTTTACCAAATAGGGCTATCTTCTGTATACCCCCCCCGACCTTGTCACAACACAACTGATTGGCTCAAATGCATTAAGAAGGATAGAAATTCCACAAATTAACTTTTAAGAAGGCACAACTGTTAATTGAAATGCATTCCAGGTGACTACCTCATGAAGCTGGTTGAGAGAATGCCAAGAGTGTGCAAAGCTGTCATCAAGGCAAAGGGTGGCTATTTGAAGAATTTCAATTATAAAATATATTTTGATTTGTTTTACACTTTTTTGGTTACTACATGATTCCATATGTGTTATTTCATCGTTTTTGATGTCTTAACTATTATCCTAAAATGTAAAAATAAAGAAAAACCCTTGAATGAGTAGGTGTGTCCATGAGACTGGTAATGTACATCATACAAACATGTGCCTATGGTCCTATTATCCATCACACGCTGCTGTCCCTCACTCAGAAATAGACACACATCACATAGGAATGTCCAACCATACAGTATGCTGACCCCGAGTGTCACATAAAGATCTAGGATCTTAATTTGAGCCAGTCTCCTACAGCAGGAAAATAATCCTGCAGCAACACAAAATTATTAGTGGACATTTTTGAAGTGGTTGAGACATTTTTCGTAAGGGAAAATTAAGTCTGAAATTTCTAAGTGGAAATTACAAACGTTAGAAGCCTTTTTAAACCTCAAATACACTACAAGTTTTAAATGCCCTGCAATGCAGGAAAGTTATCCTGCAACAGGGTGATCAAATTAAGATCCTACATCTGTGTGTGTGCCTTAGCAAGTGTGGAATGTAGACATTGCATTCGAAAAACACCCTGGGTATATTCTACTGTATGTTCAGGTCACTGACCTGTAGAGACTGTAAGAATATTGCTTCTCTTAATAACATTGCTACAAACTCTGTAGATACAGGCCCTGTTTTTCTATCTTCTGTACGTTTACAGTATATGTACATTACTTCTCAGGCGTTCCCAAACCATCCCCTATTGGCTAAGTCAACCATTAACCTATATTCTGCTATAAAATATAATGAATTTTAAATCCTACTTAAATCCCATTAATACATAATCTACAGACCATCATATTAAATTGTTTCTGATCATCTCTTCCACATAGATGACGACTGTACGGACTCTTTCACCCCCAACCAAGTTGCCCGGATGCACTGCTACCTGGACCTGATCTACCAGACGTGGCAGCCCGCGTCCAAACCACCCCCTGTACCCATGGCGCCCCAAGTGGTGGGGCAGGAGCATGACGCCATTACCCTGGAGTGGTTCCCGCCTATCTCCGGCCACTTCTACAACAGGTGAAATGAGCTGGACGAATGGGGCAGGCAGCACAGTGGGGATCTTTTGTATTGACCTCCACTCTGCAGAGGACTGGAGATATTTTTGAAAAATGGGTTGACTGTCTGTTTCGATTGCATCAAAATTATCACATGCCTATTGGCCTGTTTTTAAATGAGTGCCAGTCCAATTAGACTGTATCTTAGTGAGTGTGTTTCCATATAAACTGTATCTAAGTTGGTTGCTGTGCCTGTCTGTTGGTTTCCTAGAGAAGTGGGATCAGTGTGTGATAAATGCACAGAGGGCCGGGTCCTGCTGCAGTACGCATCTAACTCCTCGTCCCCCCGACCCTGCGCCCCTTCTGGACACTGGAGCCCCCGTGAGGCCGAAGGTAAGACAGCTCTATTCTGGGTTATTAATTACAACACGTCTGACTGACTGACTGACCAACTGACAAACTGTCTGAAAGCACTCCTCGCCTCTCTATCTCACCCAGGCTGAAACAACTCACCCACCTCATTCACAACCTCCAGATTCATCACTGAAACCTCTGTAACCTTCACAGCTCAGTACACTTCTCCTACTCCCTTTACCCATTCATTTACTTTTACCCTCCTGGATTCTAACCACCCTACCCCAGAACATACAGTACATACAGCACATACAGGAGGTACTGTAAACCACCCACCCTGCCTTGTAAGGCAGGCCCACCCACCCCACACACATTCTCAATGTAACCCCACCCTGTCCTCCTTCTGCCAAAACACCTATTCCCTCCCTTTTCCTCTTACTGATAGCATCTTCACCATATCAGGAAACTGAAATCTCACTACTCCCTCTAGGTTAGTATTTGGCATCTGTGTCAACTCTCAAACATGCAAATCATTTGGTCGCTGAGTCAAGCCCCAAACATGCAAATGATTCATCTGAGTCACGGCCCTTGACACGAGCTGAGGGACGCAGAGGGAGTCAAAGTTGAGCCAGTGTTCCCAACGGAATGGAGATTCCGTATCCCAGAAATACCAAACGTGGGCTCACAGCGACAGGCATGGTGGGAACTGGGAAGAGCTCTCCACGGATCATGTCCGTGACATCATTTCTCCCATTTGGTATCAGGGAAAGTTAGGACAGTGAAAGCTGAAATCAACTGCCTTCCTGAAATAGGATGCATTTTTCTTCCCCTCTCTCCTCCAGCTCTTGCAGAGGATTTTAGAACAACTGTAGAGGGACCAGCATTAGGGAGGTGGAATTTGGTCTTTATAAATAGTCTGCACAGCTGTGCACCTCTGACCGCTAGCTGTCTCTGGCATCTGCAGTATTAAGCGTTGTTCAGAGTGTGTTGGAGTGTGTTTCAATGTATGTATTAGTGGGTCAGTATATCTGCCATTATTATGGCATGCTGCATCTAGAGGAAGTTTGATGGCTAAATACACAGCTGATAATATCTGTACATTAGAACTAGATCAGTCTATTCAATCTAGTCTAGATATGGAGATACAGAAGTATTACAACTCTGTCCTAGGTCCTCTGATAAGAAATAAACTGATAAGGAATAGATTATCCCTACTGTGTTGGTATGTTGATAGAGATGCCAAGATGGCACAGTTTCCCAAGCTTCAAAGTTATTCCGTGGTCTTTCAGGGTCAGAGCTAGAGTCTGTAGAATTCAGTGAGATCTGATCAACTTGGCAGCTGTCCGACAGCACATGGCTAATAATGAACCCAGTGACTCATTGGGCTGGGGATCAGACCGCCGTTAGTGCTGTGTCTCTGTGTGTGTGTGTGTGTGCGTGCGCGCTTGCGCACATGTCTGTGTGTGTGTCTGTTTGCATGGTCCTTGCCGCACACAGGCTACAGTGTGTGTATGAGAGGCATGTCTGGGCTTGTCTGCGGCACTGTGTGTAAACCTCACTCTGTTTTCACTCTTGGAAGTGCTCCCTGTTTGCAAGCAGCAGATTCCCGCTCCCCTGTTTACACACCGATGCTAGTCCATCACAGGCTGCTAACAGCTGCATTCTTGTGTGTGTGTGTGTGTGTGTGTGTGTGTGTGTGTGTTGTCTCTGTGGCAGCTTATGACAGTCAAGTAACCACCACCCACAGACATCCCGACGATGCAAGCATGCAAAATGCCAATGCCATGAGTCTGTGTATGTCGGCATGTGTTAACGTAGTGTGTATGTGTGTAGTTGAATCGGTGGCTGAGAGGTTGAATATGTATTGGTGTGTGTGTGCGTGCGTGCAAGGGACAGTGGGCATGTCCAGGCATGTGTGTGTGTGTGTGAATAGGTGTGTACAGGCATATATGTGTGCGTGTGTGCGTCTGTAACACGCCTGACACCTGTCAGTCCCCTGGCTCGTGTTCCAACACTTCTGTAGCTAGGAAACCCTGGCATGGTCAGAAAGAGAGCTGGAGCACCCCTCGTAAATCTTTACTGCTCTATACCCATGAAAAATATGGCTGGGGGAAGAGAAAACCAGAGCATGAAAAAAGAGAGGGAAGAAAGCATGTGGATTGGAGAAACTATGTGGAAACCACCCAAGATAGTTAAGCGAATTGCATGTGGTTTGTGACATTCAGGAGGAGGATCCTGCAGCTGATTGTAAGCAGGAGTGTGTGTGGATGGACGTGAAGGACCTGGGATGTGTGTGCAAAGTCACGAGTGCACACATGTATAGGTCTCTGTTTGTATGTGTGTGTGTATCTGGAGAGGGTTTGTTCAATGAGGGTCTTGTAAATTGTCTGTGTGTGTGCACACATGGCATTTGTCAGTGTGCGTATTAATGTGTATATGTGCTTGCTGCACCAAGCCGTGCATCGCCAAGTGTTCCTGTCTGACTGGCCCAGATGTCAGGGCCATGCTTTCATTAACAGCGGCCTCCTTTGAAGGCGGGGCAGTGTCAAGCCTCACTGCATTATTTACATTTTAGTCATTTGGCAGACGCTCTTATCCAGAACGACTAACAGTTAGTGAATACATTTTTTTTTTTATACTGGCCCCCCGTGGGAATCGAACCCACAACCCTGGCGTTGCAAACGCCATGCTCTATCAACTGAGCTACATCCCTGCCGGCCATTCCCTCCCCTACCCTGGACGACGCAGGGCCAATTGTGCGCCGCCCACGAGTCTCCCGGTCGCGGCCGGCTGCGACAGAGCCTGGATTCGAACCAGGATCTCTAGTGGCACAGTTAGCACTGCGATGCAGTGCCTTAGACCACTGCGCCACTCAGGAGTACATTATGTGATGCAGTGTGTGTTTGGTGAGTGTGTGTGCTCTCACTGTCTGTCTTGGAGAACAACTCACTGGGCTCTGCTCCATTGCTGTCAGTGCTACACACTGCAGGGACTCAGGGCGACAGGGTTCAGACACAAAGTACCTGAAGAGAAAGAACAGCTTCCCCTGCTTTATCTCCACTAGCACTTTAATGATACTCATGAGATAATGACTTGTTGATGGAGAGGGATTGGATAGAGACATGGATGCATACAGAGACTAACAGAGAATGCGCAGTCATGCATGTACTGTACGCTCACACACTCATAAACACACTTATTCTGGAGAATATCAATCCTGACGCGCGCTACCTCAGTTTAAGCGATACTCCCTGAAGGCAATACAATACAAATGACAAATCAGCCAGAACCTTGGCCAGGACCTTGTTGCATTGCGTATGACGCAAAATATTAGAAAATACTCCCCTGCCGCGTGCCCGATTGCATTGACCGATGGCCTGTTCCATCTCCAAAACCTTCCAATTCCTCAGTAGCATATTTTCAAATCCAACAATGTTTTTATTGCTGCAACGCTCCAAATGTTCCAAAAGCTACTCACGCTTTTAGAATGTCTTAATGACATTGCTTGTTTCTCTTGTTTGGCTTCTTGGCGAAACTCTTAGCAATAATGAATCACAGTGGAACCTAGAACCCAGAACATTCCAATTCAGTGTTCCGGTTCATTTCATTGTATAATGTCACAGGAATTCCCTCCGATATCCTATAAAAGAGTTGCACTATATAAAAGCATCTGCACGCCAGGACAAGGTTGTGTTTTTTTCAACATTGGGATGTTGAGTGGAGGCCAGCGAGGTTGATCTGGAAAAGGAGGAGAGGACTGGTGGATGTGTGCCGAAGGAAATATCTGCAAAGTCCCCAGGCGAGGGAGAGGAGAGGAGCTGGGCTGTCAGTGTCACCACCCCTCCTTCAGGCCCTCTGCTTTCCCCATCACTCACCCTTCCCACCACGTTCTCCATCCCTCACCCCTGTCACCCACGCCAACTGTTTAGACTGCAGATATTATATGCAGAGAGAAGGAATGAATGAATGACAGACTGACGTTTATTGGCCTTCTAGACTAGAGGAAGTTCTTAAAGATTGACTGCTATGAGGAATCGTTGATTCATTTCATGTATCAATTGAAAGATATATGCTGTCATACAGCTATGACTGTGTTCACACAGATGACACAGTAAGGCTCTCAAGGGACAAAACACAAGTGAGCAAGACATATTTCCATTGTGGTTCCTCTCATGGCCTCTAGTTAGAGGTCATGGCATGAATACAAGTAACGAAAGTTACTTCAGTGCAAGTCAGTCAGTCTGTTGTGTGTTTGACTCCATTCCATTTATTCCATTCCAGCCATTACAATGAGCCTGTCCTCCTATTGCTCCTCCCACCAGCCTCTTCTGAGGACAATGGTTACTTCAGTGCAAGTCAGTCTGTTGTGAGTTTGTTATAGAGAGTGTGACTTATGACGGAGAGGAAGGCCCCTTTCTTAGAAAGCAGAGTGCATGCACGGACATATCCCTCTGTTTATCTATCCGTATCCAAGTTAATTCCAGTCCCCTGTTTCTACGCGCTCCACAATTCCACACTGTCTGATTCCCACATGATGCCAGAGGGCGAAACACTACACATTCAACCCTATTGCAATTAAGCTGGAATTCCTCCCAATGTCTCTTTCCCCCTTTCCTAGAACAAGCGATCTCCTAGACAGGTTGATACCCACATGGGATTAGCAAATCAAGTGAGAAAGCAAGGCCTCCTATTCAAAGGCCAGGTTTGGATTGTCTGAACACCTTGAGGGCCTTTCAGCAGCCTGGGAGGCAAGGCTAGGTCAAACGCTATAGAGCTGTTTTTGTACCAGAGAGTAGATTTAACCCTAATGAAAAGGTGCTGTCTTGGTTGGATTTTAAGGATAAAATCTGTAATACTCAAAATTACTGTACTTGTAATTCTACAGTGTTGAAAAATAGACCTGGGTCTTGCCATGGTTGCATATAATCTTTATGCATATGTTTTACTTACTCTATAGATGATCTTATGATGGATGACATCCCCATCCTGTGTCATCGTAAATCTCGAACCTCTGGCGTCCGTAGTAGGAGTTCTAGAGCAGGAGGACAGCCCATCATAACAGCTGACATTACAAAATATTTTCGGT